ACCCGAATAGTTTTATAAACTATCCAAGTAATTGAGATTATCGACCGACGAGATTTGACTTTTAACTTAACTTATTTGCATTTGAGAGTAACTTAATATTATTCTAAAGTTAAATTTTCATTTTATTCAACAGAAAATTCTATTCACAGCTGACTAAATCTTGTTAGGTTAAAAAAACAAAATTTATCTATTAAAGTAATTAAATTTTCGTATTTAATAAAAGTTCATATCAGTAGACTCTTCTTTATTATTTTTTTCACTTGTTAAAAATTTTTAATTGATACATAACTTATTAAAGCACTTTATTTTTATACTAACAGTATCTTCGTTCGCTTCACTGAATATCGGTGTGGTTTTTTTTGTAAACAGGTTGTTTTTATTATGAACTGTTAAATTTAAATTTATAAATGTATAAAAAATAAGAACTAAAAAAAATACGAATTTTATTTTAAGAAGAATTTACCGTTGAATTTTTTTTTCGTAGTAACGTTTAGTTTAAAACTTAGTAAATAACTGAGTATTGCTTCTTGAAATTTTATGGAGCTAAGTTATTGTAAATTGATAAACTTTGATGGATTTATATTAGATTTTTATATCAACTAAATTATTCAACAGAAATTTTTATTTAAAAAATTTCACATTTAGAAATAAAAATAAATTTAAAGAGCAAATTTTTTTTCATAATTGATTTGTAATGAAAATAAAAAAAATTATCAGTTTTCTGTTGATTTAAGTATTATTATAATATTAATGTTTTTTAAAATATTCTCAAGCAAATTTATCTAGTTTCTTTGATTAATAAACTAGCAACACTTGCAGTCGCTACGCGACTGCTGAGATTTACGGATTATGAATAAGAAAACATTGACTTAATAATTTTTTTATATTTCTAATCATATTATTATATATAGTTTAAGCGCTTTTGAAATAAATTTAGAGACATCTGATAATTTTTAGAATTTTTTTGACAAATAAATTAGAGCTAGAGAAATTTAAAAAAAAATCTTAAGAAGCTCTAAAAAATTATAAAAGCAATTTTTAAACAACAATTTTCTAGATCTGATTTATTTAAAAAAAAAAAAATAAAAAAATTGTCAGGTGTCTGCTAATTTCATTGTCATGTCTTTTTAAATAATTCTATAAGTATTAGCAACCTGCAGTCACTATGTGACTGCTAAGATTTATAGATAATGAATAAGAAAAATTTGGCTTAATGATTTTTAGATATTTCTAATCACACTACATAGTTTGGATTTTTTGATAAAAATTTTGAAAATAATGGTGCTATGACAGGATAAATAACAAATTAAAACATTGAAAAGGCACAAATTCAGGTCAAGATCTTCCCAATGACAAAAAATTTCTCTTAAAAAAAAAGAAGTATTGTTGGGACAAGAAATTAATTTGTTTAAAATTTTCAACAATTTTATTTCTTAGCTGAAGAAATCTAAAATTTTCTTACAGTAACTATCTTGTTGAAAAAATTTTTTCTTGTTTTTTTGAGTTGTAAAAAAAATTTCGGATGAAAATTCTTAAGTTATCTAGCTAAAATTTTTTTTTTCCAAATCTAGAAAACATTCTTTCAACACTAAAGTTACTGTGAGAACAATTTTTATTTTTTCAGCTAAAAAATAAAATTGTTAAAAATTTTTAATTCTCTCAATTATTAAGATCATGAATGACTACCGCTGAAAAAATATTAATATCAATTTACGATAAAGATGTACTCATTACAAAATTTTTCTTAATCTCTTAATTATATAAATTAATTTTTGACACAACCACATTGACATTTATAAAACAAAAAAAGAAATAAACAAATTTTATTTATCGCAAAATTCTAATAATGTCAATAGGATCGCTAATATTATAATAATATAATAATAATAATAATAATAATAATAATAATAATAATAATAATAATAATATATTTATTTAGCTAATTAGCTATTTTTTTTACAATTAGTTTTATACAATTCATTAAAATATATTTGATTTTCATCATTTGCACCTAACATACTATCTATAGATATATCTATAATTTATTTACATTTTACCATCTAATTTCTCAAAGTACTTATTCTACATTTTCTTTGATGTATATTTTCAATAGCAATTTAAAAATTTTAATTCTAGTTTCTTTTCTTATTTCCGTCGAAATTTTATTATACCAAACTAAATCCCTATATATTATAGTTTTTTCTGCTGTAACTGTTTTTATTTTTTTTTTTATTTAAATTTGAGCATTTCTAGTATTATAATGAGTTGTACTAAAATCGAATTATTATTAATATTATTATTATTATTATTATTATTATTATTATTATTATTATTATATTATTATAATATTAGCGATCCTATTGACATTATTAGAATTTTGCGATAAATAAAATTTGTTTATTTCTTTTTTTGTTTTATAAATGTCAATGTGGTTGTGTCAAAAATTAATTTATATAATTAAGAGATTAAGAAAAATTTTGTAATGAGTACATCTTTATCGTAAATTGATATTAATATTTTTTCAGCGGTAGTCATTCATGATCTTAATAATTGAGAGAATTAAAAATTTTTAACAATTTTATTTTTTAGCTGAAAAAATAAAAATTGTTCTCACAGTAACTTTAGTGTTGAAAGAATGTTTTCTAGATTTGGAAAAAAAAAATTTTAGCTAGATAACTTAAGAATTTTCATCCGAAATTTTTTTTACAACTCAAAAAAACAAGAAAAAATTTTTTCAACAAGATAGTTACTGTAAGAAAATTTTAGATTTCTTCAGCTAAGAAATAAAATTGTTGAAAATTTTAAACAAATTAATTTCTTGTCCCAACAATACTTCTTTTTTTTTAAGAGAAATTTTTTGTCATTGGGAAGATCTTGACCTGAATTTGTGCCTTTTCAATGTTTTAATTTGTTATTTATCCTGTCATAGCACCATTATTTTCAAAATTTTTATCAAAAAATCCAAACTATGTAGTGTGATTAGAAATATCTAAAAATCATTAAGCCAAATTTTTCTTATTCATTATCTATAAATCTTAGCAGTCACATAGTGACTGCAGGTTGCTAATACTTATAGAATTATTTAAAAAGACATGACAATGAAATTAGCAGACACCTGACAATTTTTTTATTTTTTTTTTTTTAAATAAATCAGATCTAGAAAATTGTTGTTTAAAAATTGCTTTTATAATTTTTTAGAGCTTCTTAAGATTTTTTTTTAAATTTCTCTAGCTCTAATTTATTTGTCAAAAAAATTCTAAAAATTATCAGATGTCTCTACTAATTCAACTCAAGACCTTTCCAAAGATACTAAATTTAATTAAAAAAATACATTTCATCATATAAATACACCAGAAAAAATTTTCCTTACTCTCTTAAGTATATAGATTAAAAAATATTACATAATACAATATTTATAAAATGATAAAAATTTTGATAAAATTTTTTTTTTTAGTCAGCAATAATATAAAATATTTATTTAATAAATTTATGAAATAAAAAAAATTATTTTTCCACTTTATTTATTTATTTAAATAACTTTTGGCATCAGACATGTCTGTTAGCAATAATAATTCTGTATAAATTTCCCTGAATTTAAAATAAGAGAATAAAAATAAATATATAATAGTAAATTACGATTTGAAATAGTAATAAATTATTATAATAGAAACAACATTGCATGTTTCTCATGATAAAGCATAATAGACTCAGACTTCCGTTATATTTATATATAATAATAATAATAATAATAATAAATAAGAAAAATTCCATCACCAATAAAATGACACAATGACCAGAACATAAATGATTGTACATACGTTAGGATTACGTAAAGAGAAGGCTGTGAAAATTATTAACGATTACGATTATAAGAATTAGCAAGTTTGCTTTTCAAGGAATATTTACCCACAGAGATAAAAATATAGATAAAAAAAAAGAACAAATAATAAAGTGTATGATTAAGATAATAATTTATCAAGGATAATTGATGACTATTTATTTACATTTGTATTTATATTTATATAATTACTAATTATATTCATTGATTTAATTAGGTATTAAAATAGACACCAAGATGAAAGCAATCGAGCAGCATCAGCCAAATTCAATAGACTCGAGTGATTCCGTAACAGGCAGTAGCGAGTACGCCTATCGTCCTTTGACAACTAAGCACCGGCGTGCTGGTAGTACTGGTACAACGGGTGACGAAGAATATACGACTGATGAAGACGAGTTTTATGGTGATGAAGCTGATTGTGCTGGTACATCACTGCACCCTCCTCATCCAATTCTTAAATCAGATTTAGCTCGCGCAGCTACTAGAAAATTCAGCTTCTGTTCCAAAAATTTAGTCTTGATAGAGTAAATTTTCTTGTCTTGAGAAAATTTCTCTCTTGCTCCAAAAAATTAAATATGAAGATAGAAGTAAATTTTCATTAATATTTTTATTGATTAACATGTCAAATGGGAAGATCAAATAATATTTCATCATTTTTTTTCATTCAATATGTATAATTGCACGCTAAAATAAAATAAAATGGGTATCAAATATTCAAGAGAAAAATTTTTTCAAGGTAAAAAAATTTTTTTCTCAGCTGAAGCTTGATCAAATTTAAAAATTTATTGTATCAAGTATTTATGATAATTTGAATTAAGAAAAAATTACTTCCACCAAGAATAGAATTTAAACAAAAATTTTGACTTCAACCAACTCAACTTCGGTCTTCCTTCAGGCGTCCGACAAATTTTCTTGAGCCAAAAATTTTGTTCTCCAATCAAGAAATTTTTCTTTCTGTGTAATTATAGCCCAAAATGGAGTTGTAAAAAATTACTAAAGTTTTTTTACATTTATGGTTTACATTAAAAAATCTTTATTCTTAATTTAAATAATAAATTAATTTTCTTAAAAATTTATGCTTAATTTAACATACATATAAATGCTTTTTAATACATTGACTTCTCTTTTTTTTTCTCTTGATTAAGTACACACTTTTATTTCTTTATATCCATTTTATCTCGTCTTCACGTGCTGCTTTAATGCTTTTTATATCACCTTCTTTAATTAATTCTGCGTAAGGTTTGTGGCACAACTGTGAATCTAGAGGTGGGTAATAATGACGATAACACATGTATGAAATAAAGATACCAATTGTCGATCCAACAACTACATCTGTTCACATAAAAGAAAAGTTATTTTTATTTTCATATCAAATTTATATTGGATAAGTGATAATGATGATTTAATTAAATTATATTCTTCTTACCTTGCCAATGATGATGATAATCACAAGTACGACTTAAAGCAATGCACAGTGCAACTCCTAAAGGTATTAAAAAACTACATAACTTCCAGGAATGTCCTTTTCCTGATAAACTGAATGTTTTTAATTTACCAGCTAAATAATATGCTACGAATCCAAAACTTGTAAATGCAACTGAAATAAAATTTAATAAAAAATATTAATTAATAATTAATACACAATTAGAATTTTAATTAAAGCATTGAAATTTAAAGACATTTGATTATTTTCTTAACAAATAAATTATATCAAAAATAGTTATGATACTGAAATTAACTAACAGCTGTCAATTTTCTAATTTCTTTTAACAAATCAATTACAGTAATAAAAATGCATTTAAAATTTTTCTCTAAGAACTAGCCGACGTTTTTAATTTTTTTTTCATTAATTTAATTGGAACAAAAAAATATTCATTAAAAATTGCACTTACAGTTTTTTACAAATAATTTTTTTTTGTAATAATTTTTTTAATAAAAAAAAAAATTTTTTAATTTTTAGATGTCGGTTAACTTAATTTTCATTAAGAATTTTTCTTCATTTGCACAAGGAAAATTTTTTAAATTATTTTTTTCATAATAATTTCATCGCTATAAAATTATAAAAGAATTTCTAATGTTTGTCAACTTCAGTATCATAAATAGTTTATTTTAAAAAATTCTATTTTCAGAAGCTCTAAAAAATTACGATTTTTTTTTTTTTAATTATTTTATAGATCTAGTTTTTTTTTTTTTTTTCAAGAAAAAAAAAATTATCGTGTCTGCTAATTTCAGTGTAATTTTTAATTACATGATGAGTGGCCACTGGGAAATGATTTTTTTCCATCACGAATTTCATGAGAATCGCCTGTGCAATTAAATTCTGCATTTGCAATACCATCTGGAAAACATCTCCAAAAATAATCTGGCCGTGGTCTGCCTTAAAAAGATAATTTTTTTTATTATTAAAAAATGTATTATCACTTGATTAAATTTATTTAATATTCTTATATATATATTGCAGCTTGTCGTAAAATAAAATAAAATAAAAAAAATTTTTGTTAAAATTTATTTTTTTAAGTTATAAAAATAAAAGAAAACTTTTTTTATTCCTTGACTTACCTACGATTATTTTAATAATATTCGTTAACACTCCATTTAAGCCAAGTGCTAATGTCACTGCCAATAATGCTTGAGCAAAATCAATTTTGTCTCTATGAATAAGAAATGATACTGAAATGACTACCATGGGAACAATAAATACTGCTGGCTAAAAAAAAATTAAAATTAATATTCAACAATAATATAATGACTAATTAATTAAATAAACTTACCCATAAAACAGTTACTGGTACGTAAGATAAAGTTTTAGGATTTTTATAAAGCCAGACTTCATCATCATGAATTTTCCGATTAAATGGTTCTGTTCTTTCCAACGTCCTAAAAAATAAATATTATCAATCAAATCACCAAAATAACTCAAAATTAATTTAACACATATTTAACAATTTTTTTAATAAATAAATTATTGCATAAAAAAAATTGACATTTCGAAATTTTAATAAATTAAAAATGCAATTTTTTTTGTTAAATAAAATTAAAAAATAATCAAGTGACAGGTAACTTTAATATCACAAATTAAAAATGCAATTTTTTAAAAATAATTTTTCGGTATAAATTTTTACTAAAATTAAATTAATTGAAATCTAAAAATTTTTACAATTATTTTAATAGAAAAAAATTAAAAAAAAAAATTCACTTGTAAAAAAATTTAAAAACTTCAAGTGCAATTTTTAATGAATATTTTTTTGTTTTAATTTATTAAATAAAAAAAAAATTAAAAAATGAACAAGTGACAGCTAACTTAAATATCATTTAAAATAATTAAAACACTGCGGTGGATCAATAATGATAAATTTGTAAATAAAGAAAATAAAAACAAATAAATAAAATAAAACTTACACAATTAATAATGCCAGAAAAGCACGTAAAAAAATATCAAACCAAAAATTAATCGACCGATCAATATTCCTCATTGTAGTCATTATTGCTAAGTGACAAGTTTGATGTAAAGCTCAACATTATTTTTAGTTATATACACGTGTACATTTGTCTTTCGGCCATTTTCAATAATAAGGAGTGTATATATTTACATATAAATACATGTATATATATATATTGATTCAATATTGAACAAATGTTGGTGCAGTATATTTATTATTCGATTGGATTTTTTTGACATTTCATTTATTTTTATGAACAGAGGGTGCGTTCCACTAAGCACTCACAACGATCACGCTCACGACCACGGTTTTTGCCGTTCCACTTGGTTCTGGGCGTCACAATCATTAACTCAAGTGGAATGGATTTTGGAGCGTTTTGAGCGTTTATTTAAATAATACAAACGGCACGTTTGAAAAAAAAACAAAATAAAAGGTTGGAAACGTTAAGGTAAAATTTGTATGTGGTATCATCAAGTTTTATTAATTATTGGTTAACTTTATTTATTAAAAAAATAATAAAAAATACATTTATACTTTAATTTTAGAGGAGTATTTACCTAATTTATGTTCACATATGATAAAAAAGGCTTTTACGGCGACAGTTGGAAATTTGTTGGTACGTCGAAATAATGTTCCACAAAGTACGAGTTATAATCCAGCAAAAATATATAATACGAAGTGGTAATTAAAAACAATATTTAAAATTAATTTCTAACTGTTATTTTTATTATTGGTTGTTGTAGAATATTTTCTTGAAATGAAGAATATCAAAAAAATAATAATAACATCTAAATACTACCAACTCCTTCTGTCATTGCCGGATTTGCTGTTATGATCCTTTTTAGATTTAAAAGTTTTTTTTTTTAAGCTTTGTAGCTTAGAAGAGCATTGAGCCTAGTTACATAGTATTCTTTTTTATTGAGCTCCTTTGCAATTCTTTCCCAAATTTTTTTTTTTTTGGGAGAATTTCCCACTACTAAAGTATTTTTCCATAGTTTTGTATGTCTCTAATAGTAACAAAATACACAAAGTGGATTCCACCTGTATAAAGAAGCTGGGAAATGCAAATATGTTACTGACATCGTCATACATTTAACATAAACATCAAGATAATTGTATAATTTATTACTTCTCCAGATACCTTCACTTCCGTGGGTTTTAGAGTTGAGATCATCTGTAACTTCCCTGAATAAAAAAAAGTATTAAGACAAAGAAAAAAGTATTGAAAAATATTGGATTGACTAAAAAACCAATTCTTTTCAATATTTTTCTCTTTGTCTCAATAATTTTTTTTAATCAGGGTTCAGTATTAAGACATTCTTCATGGCTAGAATTATCGTTAAACGTCATTAGACAAAAAAAAGATTGTCATTATCAACATTAGTCGATGTCGAGGGTGGTGATTGTTGATTTAAGACTCTGAAATCAAAATAAGTTTCTTTTGACAAATAGATTTTTCTTGATAATTAACGTTGTTTGTTTATTCATTAACTTAGATATGTTGTTGACAAATGATGAAAAATATATAAAATTGCGATAAATTATAAACTGCAATTATGCTTACTAAGCTTCATTTGACAATAATATTTACCTGTTAACGCACGTTCAGCATCTGCAGGAGAAAGTTTGAGATCCACAACAGTATCTTGTTCGGCACAATAGAACAATATTGTTGTTGTCGCCATGTTTGCTGCTTTTAGTTTTAAAAATTGCGCCTAGTTTCTCAAAACGCTCACATCGACCCACCTCTTGAGCTCTTGAGATGGGTCGTCGTGAGCTTAGCGTGAGCATAAGTAATGACGTCATTAATGACGTTTTCGCCTAGACCACAACGATCCGCGGTCGCCATGTGGAACGCCTGAATGAGTATTTTAGGCGTTGTGAACGCTTAGTGGAACGCACCCTCTGGGTAATTGATTTTGAGCGTTAGAATTTTCACTTAGCGCCATCTAACAATTTAATTCACTGATAAATTTATGAATCCCTCCCCACTCTATAGACAAGTTGAGAAAAAAAGCAAGCATCAAGCCAAAGCCAATCCGATCATTATTTCAACAACTATCAATGAGTGTGAGTGAGTGAGGAAATAAAATACTACAGACCACAACGTAATTCATACAAAGAAAAATTATTTACGTGCATAAAAAATAGTTTAATGTGAAAAATTTTTATTTTTTTAAATTAAGCACAATTTGCTTTATTTAAAAAATGTTTTATAATTTCTATTACGCTTATAGAAGAATTAATACAGAATTTAAATGCCCAGCAGTAAGACGAAGCTTGACATGGGCATGATGAGGTAACGTGTATAAATTGATGTAATAGTTTATTATTTAATTACTTGGATACTTGGATAAATATTTAAATTTTTTATTGTAATTGTGTAGAGTTTGAATTAATTTATCAAGGATTAAAATAAAAGACAATGTCATCCTCACCTAGTGGATCCAACTACCCTGGTCTTGCTACGGATTTTCCTGATGATAATTTAAATAAATTGACATCATTTTTACATAAATTAGCTGGATATACCGATGAAGAAGTCAGTGCTATTTTAAAGGAACACTGTTATGCTAGACCTTGGAACTGGAGACCGGAGAACGTTTATGTCAAGCCAACTATTAGGATATTTTTTACCAAGCCTCCACTAACTCGGTAAATTTATTAGAAATAATTGAAGTATTTTGTTAAAAAAAAAAATAAATCATGTGATTAATTTCTCTTTTTTTTAGCAGTGATTTATTTATAAAATTCTGAAACCAGAATTTTCAGTATTGTATATTTAATTAATTTTTGTTTGTTTATTTTTAAAGGTGCTTAAGTGAATGATAGCAAAGTTTGATTAGCAGACATTTAATAATTTTTATATTATTTTCATTAATGATATTAGAACTAGAAAAATATTGTAAAAAATTCCATGCGTTTTTTAAATTTTCTACATGTGGAATTTTCAATAAATTTTTTTCTTGTAAATTTTTCTATTAAAAGAATTCTAAAAATTGTCGGGTGTCTGCTAACTTTATTTTCATTTAAAATGATATGTATTTATGATAGTAAAGTTAGCAGATATTAGAGAGTTTTTTATTTTTTTTAAAAAAAACAAATTTGTTCAAAAAAATTGCACTTTTCATTTTTTTAAATTTCTTCATGCCAATTTTTTTTTTTTACCGTAATTTATTTGTTAAAAAAAATTCTAAAAATGATTTATTTTCATCAATTTTGCAGATATTTAATCATTTTTAGAATGTTTTCAACAAGTAAATTTTGTTAAAAAAATTAGAACAAAAAATTGACATGTAAAAATTTTTTTTAATTGTAAATGCAATTTTTTAAAAATTATTTTTCAGAAAAAATTCATTTTTCCAATTTTTTTTCTTATTTCTTTTTTTACTATAATTTATTTGTTAAAAAAAAAAAACATTCTAAAAATTATTCAATATCTTCAATAATTATTTATAAAAATCAAAGTAGCAGATGTTTAATAGATTTTAGAATTTTTTCAAGAAATAAATTAGTGCAAAAAAAATTGACATGTATAAATTTAAAAAAATTAAAAATGCCATATAAAATTAATTTTTTTGAAATCTTTTTGTTAGATAAAATTAAAAAATTGTCAAGTGACTCCTAACTTTAATGTCATAATTTATTTTCATTGTTATTTTTTTTTTAATTTATAATTTACATTTTTTGTTATTCACTCATAGCTCCGCAATATAAATGAGTCATTTATGAACTCAACTTAAATAAACAATGTTTACTCGCCATATGGCTATCTTATACTTAAAAAACTAACTTTGTCTACTTATAAGTACTATGTATATATATATTATTAACCCTATTAATGGCTCTGGCTGTTGACTTTAATTATCAATAAATAAATAAATAATGTATTTTTAGGAGAAAGCTGCATAAACGAAGTGTAATAGACGTAGAAAATTGCGACGAACCAGACCAATTATCAATCCCAAGTGACTTAACAAACCCGCGAAACTCAATAGAAGAAGCTCTAAGATTAATCAACTTCACCCGGCCAGAAGACAGTAATGACGACTGGGAAGAAAAGATAGAAAAAACATTATGGTCGCCAGTCCAAAGAAGAATATTTTCCCGAATATTTATGATAATAAACTCCGAGCGCCTCCACAGACTAACAAAAGTGAACAATAAAATGGAGCTAGTATACCGTCGAACATCAACGGACTCCTCAGCTAAAAAATTCCGCGAAGTAATGGCGACTATCAGTTGGGACTACAGAATACTTCAATGGTTGCACGGCTTACTAGTTGATAATTTATCCCGCGAAGCACTTATAATTTATTTGGACATACTTCAAACATTGAGAGCTAAGGTTCCTCAGCTAGTCGACAGAATGACTGCTCCAACAGCAAATGCAATTGTTAAACCCGGATCTATACCTTTAGAGACACTTAATGCTCTTATAAAACGAACTTGGGACCCAGTGGCTACTTGTTTAAATAATATTAGACCTAAAAAGCTTCCAGGTAATCCAATTTTAGTTGTAGTGCCTTCTGGAGTTGGTAGTAGCATTTCTCCAAGGCAACACAAGTGGATTACACAATTGGGATTGCTTGGAACGCTTGTTACTGTTCATTCACATTTAGGATTGTCGGCTAATAAAATGACGATGATGACGTGCCTTGAGCAACTTGTACAAGCTACAAGAGCTAAGATTCAAGATGTAAGAAGTGATTTTCCAGGAAATCCTGTAATTTTAGTTGGATTTAATACTGGAGCGGCTCTAGCGTCTCAAGTTGCGCTAATGGAGCACGTAACAGCTGTTATATGTCTCGGATTTCCTTTTGCGACTGCAGAAGGCAAAAGAGGCTCGCCTGAAGACACTCTCATGGATATAAGATGCCCTATTATGTTTGTAATTGGCCAGAATGCAACGCTTGTAAGACCGGATGACTTGGAAAATGTACGGGAAAAATTACTCGTTGAAAGTTGTCTGGTTGTTGTTGGTACTGCGGATGACAGCTTGAGAGTGTCGAGCAATAAAAAAATTTCTGAAGGAATTTCTCAGGCTATGGTTGATCGGTGTATCATGGACGAAATTACTGATTTTATTGGTGGAATTCTGGTTCAACCTCATCCATTGCCGTTACGTCCAGCGGGATTGTTAAATCCGGATAAGAATAAAAGAGATGCGAGAAAACGGAAAAATTCAACGAGTAGTTCTGTTGACAGTGAATCGAGCTTTCCAAATTTACAGAAGAAAAGTCGTTCAGGTACGCCGGGTCAGTTTAATACAACCAGGAGTCAAGGCTCTTTTGATAGGTCTTCAGGTTTAAATATGCAATCCACTCTTGTTACAGCGGGCAATCCGAATGATGTTAATGCACATAATTCTGTTCCAAGGCGGAAACCCAAAATTATTAATAATCAGAAATTAGGCTCGTCTGATCAGATAATAGCTCGTCAACCAATTCCAGTAAGTAATTCTTATTATTTTATTTAAGATTTAATAAAAAATAATTGGAGCACTCTGGCAGTTACTATTGTGAACTATAAATAAATAACATTTTGATTTATTGAATAGTGACTTTAATTAAAATTCACTGTACTTTTTTAACTATTGACGTTTTTAAAGATATGATATATATATATAATATATAAGTTCATCCTGATGTTACACTTATCAAGAGCTTTCATTTAAGTACCCACATGCATTTTTGATATATTTTTCATATATACATATATATATAAATATATGAAAAATTGATGTGAGTACTCAAATGAAAGCTCTTGATGACCGTAACATCGGGATGAGCTTATATCGTTAAAAATATCATCAGTAGACAAAATGCAATGTAACTTCTTAATTATTGACATTTTTAAAGATATAAACTCATTATGATGTTACACTTATCAAAAACTTTCATTTGAGTACCCACATGCATTTTTGATATATTTCTCATATATACATATATATATATTTTTCATATATTCATATATATCATATATAAATATAAATATATAAAAAATTGATGTGGGTACTCAAATGAAAGGTCTCGATGAGTGTAATGTCGGGGTGAGCTTATATCTTTAAAAATGTCAATAGTTCACAAGATACAAGGTAATTTCTTAATTATTTATCTAGAGATATAGTATTTTCGAATGCAGTCTAAATACTTATCATAATAAATTGACTATCAGTGAGAATGATATGAAATCTTGAAAAGGCACAAATTCAAGTCAAGACCTTTGCAGTGACACTAAATTTCACTAAAAGATCCGATTTTATCATATTACTATCCTGGACATAAAATTTTTTTTATTTTTTTTAATAAGATTATTTACTTATTTTTATAGATATCCTCAAATTCAAACGGAATCACACTGAACATTGGATCTATGGCTAGTTTAAGTCCCATGGGTCCAATAAGATTACCCGCCGGACCGTCAAATCAATTGAACAATTCAATTCAATCTAATTCTAGTTCAAAAACTTCTGTTTCATTTTCCAAAGTACCAAAAATGATTCCATCAAATAATACACCAAACTTTACGGGAAAATTGAAAACAATTACACCAACGAATAAAACGTTCAATAAATCCATCTCTGCTAATAATTATAAGTCAATAGAAAAATCTGGAGAGACAAAACTCGTTACGGTGTTAACATCTAATGGGAACCAAGTTAGAGTCGCAGCACCTTCAGGTATGCCTATTGCATAAATAGTTAATCTATTGCTATAAATGTCTATTGCTCTAAGTAGTTAATCAATTGATAAACAACTTAATTATTTATTTTCAAGATGGTCAAAATAAATCTTCTGGAACAGGAGGATCTTTGACTGCATTACTACAAAATAGAAAAAATAATGACAATTTAACTGAGGAAAAAATTGCTAATCAAACAATACCAATTAGTCACTGTGAATCCAGTAGTACGACTACTAGTACCGCATCTACAATGACAAAAGGTAGAATATCAATATCTAAAAGTCTAAAACCATCGTGAAATTAAATTTGAATTAATTTTTTTTAATTAAAACTTATCTCAGATAAATTACCAAAAAATTAAGTTAAATTATAAAAAAATACATGTATATATTATATTATCAGTGGTAACCGGAAAAAAATTTTTAAGTTATCAAAAATTCATATTATTTCATTAAAATTATTATAAAATAAGAATTATAATATCCACCCCTACAATTTTCCTGGAAAACAAGCACCCCCAGAATGATTGCTCCATTATTTGTTACAAAAAAAAAATAATGTAATTATTATTATTCAACACCGGGTAAGTTGGCTTAAATAATAAATGCTCTTTAATTATTATTATTATTATTATTTTTATTTAATAATAGTTTTAATGAAATAATATGAATTTTTTATAATTTAAAAATTTTTTTCGGGATTCATTATCAGTATTTTTTTACAAAAATGAACTCAACTTTATATTTTAAATTTTTTTCACTTATAATTAAATTATAAGTAATTTTTTTTTTTTTTTAAATTGTCAACCATTGTTGGTTAAAGAATATGTAAATTAAACACATTTTTGATAAATTAATTTTTGTGTTTTAAATAAACATTTTTTTTTATAATTTGGATTAATTTGATTTTTATCCTTTAATCCTTGAATCCATTACTCCTGTAATTTATTTAGTTTACATTAAAGTTGATTTCATTTCATTAATAATGTGAATAATTAAAATATATATAATACAAATGAAAATGAAATTAGCAGACATCTGACAATTTTTTATTAAAAAAAAATAAAAATTTCAGATAAAGAAAATTTGAAAAACTAAAAGTGTAATTTTCTTAAAATATTTTTTTATTTAAAATTTAATTAATGATAAAAATTAAAAAATTTTTTAACGTCTGCTGATTTCAGTATCATTAATACAAATGTAAAATATATTAATGAATTTTTATAGTGATGGAGGAGTGTACGAGTTCAGGTGGAAATATTAATTTAAATAATGCAATCAACATCACAAGAGTTAACGAAATTACTTCAGCAACTGAAAGTACGAATTCAATAACAATACTGCCGTGGTCGAATAAAATAAAAAATTCACTGAAAAATGATGACGCACTGCCTAAAATAACGCCTATAAATAATAAAAATCAATGGCAAAAATCCCACCAATTAACACCACCATTAATTAAAAATAATCCGTCATTAGAAGTTGACGATGATGATCTTGGAAATATTTTAGACATACCAATAATATTTGCTAAAGATGATGATAATTTAAATGCTATTGAAAAAGCACCACCTATTTCTTTGCCTATCACTACAATTAATGATTCAATTCAACAAAAACCAGTCAATAAAATAAACCCGACAAAAGTTGTTTTATTGAGCAATAAAGAAGGTAAAGTTTATCAAAGACCTACGAGTAAAATAACGCCAACAAAAAAAATTGATCAGGATTTAAATCAATCAGACTCAAGTCTCGTTAATCGTGTTGTCTTTCAAAGACGCATGCAAAATTCATCGTTGTCTTCTACTCAATCTTCGTCTTCTGGAAGCAATCAACAACCTGTTAAATATACTAAAATAATATTATCAAAGCGACAAAATTCTGGAACTTCAACGAAATATACTGATCAAGTGGTGTTAACTAAAAATAAGCGCCCGTCTTCCCAATTAATTGTCGGCGATCAAAGTCATTCATCATTTACAACAACACCTATTAGAGTTATACCTAAATTAGCAGATAAAAGTAATAATGATAATGATAATCATAATATTGTAGATAGTGAAAAAAACATTGTACAAACTAAAACTAAGGACTGTAAATTGTTTGATGAGTCAGACATTTGATAATCTAGCGGAGTTATTTTTTAGTATAAATATAAGTTGTTATATTGTCTCATTTTATTTGATTTCACAGTATGTTATTTTTCATCTCCGCAATATTTATAATTATTAATTATTATTAGTCAATACTATTTTTAATAATCTGTTCATAATAATAGTACTGGTCGAAAAATATAATTCGATGTAATTATCACACTTTTTACTACCTAAAATTGTTATATAGATTAATAATTGCTGTTAATAAATTATTTGTCTAAAATTTAGTCGTACTTACCAATTTTTGGCTATTTATCAATTTGAATTGGTTGTTCTCCGTTTTTAGATGTAAATAATGTGTAAATTTTTTTACTAAGCTCGGGTCCGAGTTTTCTTGATGCTGCAGTTGAAGTTATTGATCTTTTAATCTATAAACAATCAATTAATTGATTAGGAAATGACCTTTTATCTTGTGAAATGTTGACATTTTTAAAGATTTAAGCTCATCCCGATGCTACACTCGTCGAGACCTTTCATTTGAGTACCCACATCAATTTTTTATATATTTGATAAATTTTATATATATGATATATATATGAATATATAAAAAATATATCAAAAATGCATGTGGGCACTCAAATGAAAGCTCTTGATAAGTGTAACATCAATTTGAGCTTATATCTATCTTTAAAAATGTCAATAATTAAGAAATGACATTGTATCTTGTAAACTATTGATATTTTTAAAGATATAAGCTCATTCCGACATTATACTCGTTGAGACCTTTCATTTGAGTACCCACACCAATTTTTCATATATTTTATATATTTTATATATATGATATATATGAATATATGAAAAATATATCAAAAATGCATGTGGGTACTCAAATGAAAGCTCTTGATAAGTGTAACATCAATTTGAGCTTATATCTATCTTTAAAAATGTCAATAATTAAGAAAGAAATGACTATTGTATCTTAGTAAACTATTGATTAGTTTTTAAAGATATAAGCTCATTCCGACATTATACTCGTTGAGTACCTTTCATTTGAGTACCCACACCAATTTTTTCATATATTTTATATATTTTATATATATGATATATATGAATATATGAAAAATATATCAAAAATGCATGTGGGTACTCAAATGAAAGCTCTTGATAAGTGTAACATCAATTTGAGCTTATATCTATCTTTAAAAATGTCAATAATTAAGAAATGACATTGTATCTTGTAAACTATTGATATTTTTAAAGATATAAGCTCATTCCGACATTATACTCGTTGAGACCTTTCATTTGAGTACCCACACCAATTTTTCATATATTTTATATATTTTATATATATGAATATATGAAAAATATATCAAAAATGCATGTGGGTACTCAAAAGAAAGCTCTTGATGAATGTAACATCGGGATGAGCTTATATCCTTAAAAACGTCAACAGTCAAGAAATGATATTGCATCTTGTCAACTAATAATATTTTTAAAGATATAAGCTCATTTTGGAGTTACACTCATCGAGACCTTTCATTTGAGTACCCACATCAATTTTTCATATATTTTATATATTTATACAATATATATGAAAAATATATCAAAAATGCATGTGGGTACTCAAATGAAAGCTCTTGATAAGTGTAACATCACAATGAGCTTATATCTTTAAAACGTCAATATTTAAGAGCGCACAGTGCAATTTTACAAAATTCATTATATAATAAAGCAAAATTTTATTTATTTACTTCACAGGTCACATAGTGACTGCAAAGTTGCTACTTATTTATAAAATAATTATAAAAATCAAATTGCATATTTACCGGAATATCTTTCAAAAGGTTTTCTCCATCTTCCCGGGAACAGTTTGAATAAGCCTATAATATAAAATATATTAAAATTAAAATACACTCAAAATAAATTTTCATTTTTAATAATAAATAAAAAATTTAATTACTTCAATTAATTGTTGAGGACTCGGATAGACAGAAGAAATGGCATCAGCAACAGCTAAACTCGAGTTATTAAAAATACAGAGTTGCTTCAACCACAATTTTTTTAATCCATATCCTTCTTTATCAACTTGAATAGTATTCCTATTATCTCCACTAGCAAAAAAATCCAATTGATCATTTAATTTACTATCCATCTCCAATTTATACGGAATTTCCGCAATTGATTTAGTGTACTGATAAATTAATAAGCTCATATCAGCAGCTTCATCAATGAGCCTGCTATTGCACTTAGCTTGTAATTGAATTTGAATTAAATTAACATCAAATACTTTTCTGGATACTTTAGGAACATTATCAATAGTCTCATAAATTTTACTATTGGCCTTTTTTTTGCCTTTGCTTTCATGATACTCAAAATATTTTTCTACTCCATAAATTACTAAAGTTAAATTCATCTTAGCTGAAGAATTACAGAGAGAAATTACAGATGACACAAATAATTTATCATTTATCAGCTGTATAACTTTGTCCCACTTCCAAATAATTAATAAATATTTTTGATTAACTTCAATTGTTGATGTGTTAATTTTATTGTCATAATCTAGTGAATAATCTTCAACTGTTCTTGTCCAGGAAATACTATTGGGTACTGATGATAATTTTGTGGAATATTTAACAGATGATGCATCCAAAATTGACAGAGTTTCATTATAAAAATTAAATTTACAAATTTCATTGTGAAAATTAATTGTAATAAATTTTAAACATTCACCTGGTTCAATATTTTTAATCCTCTTTTTTTCTAACTTCAATTCTAATTTAACTCTAGCCGCTTCCTTTTTTTCTCTAACCTTATCTTCATTAACAGCTGTAGTTTTTTTTTTTCTAGATCTTACTTTACTGGTCGGAATTTCAGGTGATGATAATACATTTTGATTATTTTTTTTCATTGAAGATTTTTGTTTATTTTTATTATAATTATGAGAGTCATTTTCATCAGAAGATAAATCACAAATGTAATTATTATTTTTGTAATTTAAATTTGCAAAACCGGTATACTCTTCATCTATATCGGATAAATCCATAGTTTTGATATTTATTATTAATAAATTTATAACAATACTATTTTTAATTCAATAATGTCTTTATTTAACCACTTTTTAAGAGACAAAAGTTAGCACACGTCTGTTCGCGCTTCGTACTGTAAATATTTACAGTGCCTATATATACTCGTGTTAATAATCGATATATAACTTCGATTTCGAGATTTCGATTGTGTGAATCGATACTTGTTAACCACACAAATTTGCGCGTAGTTTGAAAATAGTAACGGAAAAATTTACAGGCTTGAAGTAACTTCAGTTGTTCCAATTGGAAAGAATAAGAAGAAAGAGGAAGCAGCTCAAAAGCCAACAATATGGCTGGCAGGAAGCAGAAAAAACAATTTTTTGAGCTACCGGGAGCTGAAGAGGGTAAATTAATTATGCGTTTCTCTCCAGAAGCTAGCGGGTATTATTTGCATACTGGTCATGCTAAGGCTGCTTTATTGAGTCAACATATTATGCTGACACATTCAAAGGTAAAAAAATTGTTAATTTATTGTAATGTTTTTTATTTATTTCTAGTACATAATTAAATTAACTTATTTAATTAAATAATTAAGCAAAAATACTATATCTCCAGATAACAAAGAAATGACCTTGCATCTTGTGAACTATTGACATTTTTAATTAAAGATATAAACTCACCCCGACATTACATTCGTTGAGAGTTTTCATTTGAGTACCCACATCAATTTTTCATATATTTTATATATTTATATATATATATATATATATATATACATGTGGGTACTCAAA